ATCGAATCTCGGGCAAGTAACATACCGATGACAAAGGGAACAACGTATGTTGTTATGCGGTTTGACCGATAAAGATCTTCGTAGAATATGTAGGAACCAATATGAGCATCCAAGTTCCGCTATTGGTTATTGACCAGAAACAGTTCTAGGTCATGTCTACATAGTTCTCGAACCCATAGGGTCCGCACGCTTAACGTTACGATGACAATTTTATTATGAGTTTATAAGTTTTGATGTACCGAAGGTTGTTTGGAGTCCCAGATGTGATCACGGACATGACGAGGAGTCTCGAAATGGTCGAGACATAAAGAATGATATATTGTACGACTATATTCGGTCACCGGAAGTGTTCCGGGTGATTTCGAAGAAAACCGGAGTGCCGGAGGGGTTACCGGAACCCCCCGGGGAAGTATTGGGCCTTAGTGGGCCTGAGGGGAGAGAGAGGGCAGCAGCCCAGGAGGTGGCGCGCCCCCTCCCATGGGCAGTCCGAATTGGACTAGGGGAGGGGGGCGCGGCCCCTCTTTCCCTCTCCCTCTCCCTCTCTTTCCTCCCCCCCTTCCTCCTTCCTAGTTGGACTAGGAAAGGGGAGTCCTACTCCCACTAGGAGGAGGACTCCCCCCTCCTTGGCGCGCCCCCTAGGGCCCGCCGGCCTCCCCCCTAGCTCCTTTACATACGGGGGCAGGGGGCACCTTAGGACACGCAAGTTGATCTTCGTGATCGTTCCTTAGCCGTGTGCGGTGCCCCCCTCCACCATATTCCACCTCGGTCATATCGTAGCGGTGCTTAGGCGAAGCCCTGCGTCGGTAGAACATCATCACCGTCACCACGCCGTTGTGCTGACGGAACTCATCCCCGACACCCTGCTGGATCGCAGTCCGCGGATCGTCATCGAGCAGAACGTGTGCTGAACTCGGAGGTGCCGTACGTTCGGTGCTTGGATCGGTCGGATCGTGAAGACGTATGACTACATCAACCGTGTTGTCATAACGCTTCCGCTTACGGTCTACGAGGGTACGTGGACAACACTCTCCCCTCTCGTTGCTATGCATCACCATGATCTTGTGTGTGCGTAGGAAATTTTTTGAAATTACTACGAGGCCGCCGCGAGGCTAGTTATAGCAGCAACGCGTTATAACGACGGGCGCTACTGCTACGTAGCATAGTAGCAGCGCATTTCTACAATAAAAGCTACTGCTAAGTTTACTACAAAAATTTAGTCCCACCTTGCTCCGTGAAGAGAGTTTCTACCACCTTAAATATGTTACTTCTCAAACTTTGACAAGCACTTGGTCTTCATTGAACTCTATGTGTAGAATTTGTGGCTGCAATATGAGTCTTCACCTGTTCCTAAACCGGTGAGGACTCATATTGATAAATCAGATTGTACACAAAAAGATCGTTGATGATCAATGTATTTTTGATATATTGAACAAAGTCTATTTTTACATGCTGACACATAGCAGTAGCGCTTTATTGTGAAAGGCGCTGCTGCTAGGTAGCTTAGTAGCAGCGTCTTTCCCTATAGAGCGCTACTGCTAAGCCATTCATCTCCCACTCTCCTCTATCCGATCCACTCACACAGTCACACACTCACTGGATCCCCTCTCAATCCCCCGCGCCGGTCCACCCCCTGCCGTCGCCCCTCCTCCCACTACAAGAAATATATCAACTTGTGACCAGCACTATTGGTCACTAAATGGTCACTGTTTTCAATTTGTGACCTTTTTGTGACCAAAAACATAAGGTCAAAAGCTGGCAGTCGTAAACTGACTATAGCGACCTTTCTTCTGGAATGGTCGTAGACGTTTATGACCAAAATACGTCTACTGTGGCGTTTTGGTCACTAGCAACCTCCCCAGGCCACGTAGGCATCCAGCATGGCAATCTGATGTGGCACAAGATTCAGCCTGGTCCAATTCGATTTTCTACATGGGCCTAGCCTAACAATTCGGCCTATTTGTGTTTTTTTCTCATGTTAATTTTGGCTAGGTAGATGGGCCAAGCCCAACAATTAAGCCTTCTCATTTTGGGGCCATGGCCTTTTCTGCTAGAAAGTTTTAGTTTTTTTTAATACAAAAAAGGTCCACTAGTCAAATGGGTCCCAGATGTCAGGTTCAGATTCGTGGGTCCCAGCTAACAAGTTCATATTCTTCATATTTCAATTTAACAGTAAATAAATAACCAGTATTCTCCAAATATTATCAGCCAGATTCAGTACAAAGCTCATATTGTACAAATAACATATACTTTACAAGCTCGACACATAATAAGCTCTAACATATACAAGCTCTACAAGCTATACACATGATACATTTACAAGCTCTATACATATAAAAGCTCTACAAGCTCTACAAGCTGCCCTGGTGTTAACCCTGTAGCTCTACAAGTGTCTTCAATCTTCTTCAACATGGAGCTCCTTCGGTAGCGAGCACAAACTGGGCACCTGCATCATCACAGGAAGGCAATTTTAGATCACAAAAACGAATGTTCCAAGCACAGTTTAGAGAAAAGAACCAAGTAAATTTGCCCTCAATCATACAAACAAAGTTTAGAGAAAACAAAACATGAACAAGCACTTATTATGCAGTTTTTAAAGTTTGTAATGCATTTATTTTCTATCAGCAAAACTGAATATGCTACTTCCTGATTCATGGTTGCATAGTCCAGCTAGCTACACCAGTTTGCTCTCATGCAAAAATTAGAAAGAAGAAAAAGGACAACAAATAAATCAACACTAATTTCTCTAACACATACAGTAACTTGCTGATATAACTTGTATAACTTGTATATTTGTCGACGAAAAATGGGATGGAAAATCATGTTTCAGTCTAGATTAATCTATCATGAGAAAACATGTATAACTCCCACTAGAATTTTTTAATGCAGTTGCGAATTATCCTGAAAACTTGTGCACTTAATGATGGTTAGATCCATCTTACAGAATACTCAGCTTCCAATATAAGTTAGGTACAGAACAGAATGTATAAGCACGAAGTAAGATAGGCCATGCATCAAACACAGAAATACTTTTTGAGCCGTTCACTGTCATGTACTACTACCTAACTGGCTAACTCAGCAGCTGTGACTGATGGTACACTGCACCAAATTCCATAATGAATTCCATAACGAGTAGCATCAGCAGCAGCAGTGCAAGAGTAGCAGCAGCAGTGAGTAGCTGCGGCATCTGGTGAGCAGCAGCAGTATGCGGCAGCAGAAAATAGCAGGAGCAGCGGCAACAGTACGCGAGCGAGGGGGCTACATGCATAGACACTTACTAGAGTCTGCATATGCTTAAACTAGAAATAGAACAAAAGAAAATTGAACCTATCTAACTCTAGGTTGTTCCACTGCAACTCGGAATTTGCTCAACCGTATGTGTACATGCATCAGGGCATACATAAAATATTCAAGTCAATATTCTCAGCTAACTGTGATGTAATGAAAATAATTACTTAATGACTTGAGGTAAAAATTGATTTTAGACATCAAAATTTGAAGCGCTCATTTCAACCATGTTCAGATAAACTTGAGGTAAATTAGCAGTATGGATATTAGTTACAAGCTAGGTGTGTAACTGCTGTCAACACCACCACCACCAGACACGCAAGATAAGCATCAACACCACCATGATCACAGGAGCACATATATAAAGCAAGTACACATGGGCAGCTACTGACAGACCCTAGAATCGCTTGAATTTATCACCAGAGAGCTCCAGTAGAAGTTGATGCTTGGTTGCAGCAACCAGTAGAGCCCCACATCCAACCCAAATCATGGCCAAGGCCATGCAGGAGCTACACTAGAGAAGAAGGAACGGGGAGGAGCTCACCGGAGGGAGGTTGTAGCTGTAGCGGAGGCTCGGCCACACCACGGCTGTGGTGTGACCATCACCACATCCAGGAGAGGGTCTGGAAGCCGTTGAAGCACCACTGCGGCGACCAGGGCAAGCGTCGGGCACAGTGGCGCCACCCCAGGGACATCACCGCACAGACATCTCCGGCCTCGCCCTGTTTCAAAAAATGTTCAGAACAACTTTGTCAGACTCGATCAATTCTGAAGAAACCACCTTCGTCGTCAGACACATACATACATACAGGAAGCAAAAGAAGAAGAAACAGAGCAGGGACCTGGTCGATCATGGGCATGAGTACTAACTATACTATAGAAGCAACATAATCACATATATATATCCTATTTCTTCCACAAAGTGTGTATATAGATAAGTCAGGCAACACACGCAGATAACTATGTTTGTGCAAATCAGATCTTCTGCATAGAAGAGTACATCCTATTCAAAAGAATGCACAGACCTCAAGCTATGTAACTACTGAAAGAAGAGGAAATGAATGCAATTCTATATACATAAAAACACATTTAGCAGTGTTATACATAGCAAAACTTTAGTATTTCATGGTACAATGAAAGAGCAGTTCAGTTGAAGAATTTGATTGCCATTCTCAATATTACTACTTAAAGATATAATGTAACAAATACTGGATACTTCACAGCAAGCAAATGGTGCAATAAATTCACTGGTCTATGGATACGATCACAGATTCACATGAGGCGTGCGTGGAATATAGTGCAAATAACAACGGAAATTTAAAGAAGCTCGCTTCTTAACAAAGGCCTACCAATCACTTCAACCTAACCTAAAAATAACAGTACATAGACTGTTCCATTACATAGTACTGCTATGTAATTGATACACAAAAGAAGATACATCTGCCATGTTCAGCAATCAGGATCAACCACGTGCGCAAGAGCAAAGCACCTGCTGTATCCAAATACAAATCGAACAAGAACAAAAACTTAGGAATGGTTGCAACCATGCTTTTCAAGGCACACAATACAAAAAATCGTGAAGAATGAGACGGCGCCTATCCTGATCTTCTTCCTGTACTTGGATCCAATGTTGGCCGTTCCGTGTTCATGAGCTCAAGTTCAATGTGTAGCCATAGTATCCATAGCTGCTAGTAAGAAACAAACAACACACATCATCAAACTGGACATAGATGCTTTATATACAAACCTGAAGCTACCGTCTTACTTTTTGAACAGGAACGTCGCGTGGTATATAAATGACAGTTCGGTCGATGTCCTAGAATATTCTGAGATGGGCGGGCTGTACTACAAGTAAAAGGGGACAGAGAATCGATGAAGAATGGAGTAGTACACCGTATCATCCTAACATCCAGAAAACATTGCGTCAGATCAGGGCCAATTAATAATAGTTCTATAGAGTAAATGACAGCCGAGGCACACGTGAGACGTAATAGTAATTCAACTTCTAGTTCGATTCAAATTGGAAGATACTGTATACTTAATGCATGTTGTATGAGCTGGCACATCAGAACAACACTGTAAATAAATCCCCTGTTTATTTGATCAAACCAACACCAACAGTACATGATGAAACTTGATATCATAGTGCCAACCGAAACTGAACACGACTTCCTCTTAGTTTGAATCTCTTAGCAGTTTTAAAGATGTCATATGGTGGCAAAAAGACAGCAAATGAAAATGCGAATGCAAAGCAGGGTAGAATGGTGGTATTTAACAAGGCACTGTATGCAGTCCACCTCCTGTATGGGCTGCGAAGTCGTTGTTGCTGCAGCACCGGTTTGGTAGCCCCTCTGTGTGTCCAGGATCTCCACCTTGTCGTCCAGCCCATCATGCATCCTTCCGCTTGAAGTGTTCATGGTCTGGCCGGCGCAGAACAAGAGGAGATGAGATCTGCATCTGCCCATGGAAGGAAAAAAGCAAAAGCAAGCAGTGGCACATGAGATGGGAGGGGATATTTTTACCCAACTTCTTACCCAAACCTCAGTAAGAAGCCCAACTATACATATAAACAGGATAATGAAATAAAACATAAATGATACGCCATTAAGCCTCCGACGCGATGTGCTGAGGGAGATCACGAGCTTAAATTAACCGGGGTACCCCGAGAGGCACCGCCACCGGCAACCATCCATCTCCCTTCCACATCCTATAGCTAACTCATGATACAACACAACAAGAGCCCAGGCCACCTCCAGGCTAGGTCTACCAGCGTGATTGGTCTCCCTTTCCGCTTGATTTCAGCTCTACATAAGCCTAGATGGGGACACCAGCCGAATCACGGCGCTCAGCCTCCTCTAGTCCACTATCATTAGGGCTGCGACGAAGGAAGGAAAGATTGTGCTTCTACCTCTACCTAGAGGGGGAAGGCGAGGGGAGGCGTGGGCATGGGGTTCGGGGGGCCGTACCGTTGCAGATCCAGTCGCCGGCGCGGGGGAGCCACTTGGAGTCACGCGGGGTGTTGGGGTCGACGAGGAGGCGCAGCTGCTTGCAGCGGTTGTACAGGGAGCGGAAGGCATAGTTGCGGTTGCCGCACCCGCCGTAGTCCCAGTCGCCCTCCCTCCCCCCGCCGCCGCCCGACGAGGATCCCGCGCCGGCCATCGATCCGCTCGCGCTCCCGTGCTCGCGGCTCGCGCCGGCGGTGGGGGTAGGTGGGGGTGGCGGAGGTGATGGGGGATTTGATTCGGGAGCAGATATGAGAGGAGAGGAGATTTCAGGGCGGCACGGAAGGGATCCAGTGGGGGAGCGAGAGGGTTTGGGGTGGCGGCTGTGGGACGAGGGGGAAAGTGGATCGGGGGAGAGGAGGGGATATGAGTTAGGGTTTAGGTGAGAGAGGAGGGGGAGAGGGCTGCCGTTCGATTCAGAAGCATCCGACGGTGGTGGATGCATGATCCGCGTGATAAGCCTATGAACCAATTAGAACGCGTCAAACAATTTGAAGACCTTTTGACCTTTTAAATTGGTCATGATTGATTACACACAAATTTTTCATTCCATTTTTCAATGCTCAAAATGAGTTTTTTCGTGCGAGACCTAGCAAATATTTGTTCAAATGATGTCATATTTTGCACAATTTTATATCTTAGATTGGCAAACAACATTGACACAGGGGGTTTTCATTTCATTTGTACAAAAAAACATTTTTTCCGTTTTTTCGAGTGCCCAAAATGAGCTTTTTTGTGAAGGACCTACCATATATTTGTTGCAAAATTGGACCTAATCAATTTTATAAAATACTAGGCCATATATAATGCACAATTGACAAAATGGTTGGGTGTCAAAAGTTTTGATCCACCTCTGGTGAAAAAGACAAATCCCCGCCGATTCAGGTGGAAGCGGGTCAAATTCGAACTGTAGCTACCTCGTAGTTTGCTCTTTATTTTTTCCAAAAATCATTTCTAGATAAATAGTATCTATTTAATCAGAGAAACACCAAAAAATTTACAAGATTCAAACACTAGCTAGGAACGGTCATTCCCTCCGTTTTGACCGCATTTTGAAACGGGCACAAAAAATTCAAAAAAAATCAAAAAAATTGGAAAACCTTCGCATTGTGACATTATATGTGACCAAGTTTCCAGGAAAAATAATAAACTTGTAATACGGTAATTATTTTCAAAAAGTGTTCTCAGAAATGAGCTATCATGCGTGAAGATTCATGGCTTTCAAGCCAAATGATCAATCTTATGGCCACATTCATGGCATAGTTTGTTCAAATGGTCTAATATTGTGCACAAGGGTGCATCTTGGAATTCCAAACAATGTTGCCTAAGGGAGTTTTCATTTTCTTTGCACGGAAAATTCATTTTCCATTTTCCGAGTGCCCGAAATGAGTTTTTTTGTGAAGGCCCTACCATATATTTGTTGCAAAATTGGACCTAATAAATTTTATAAAATACTAGGCCATATTTAATGCACAATTGACAAAATGGTCGGTTGTCAAAAATTTTGATCCACCTCTGGTGAAAAGGACAAATTCCCGTCGATTTAGTTGGAAGCGGGTCAAATTTGAACTGCAGCTGCCTCGTAGTTTGCTCTTTATTTTTTCCAAAAATCATTTCTACGTACATAAGTATCTATTTAATCAGAGAAACACCAAAAAAAATTCCAAGATTCAACCACTAGATAGGAACGGTCAAGCCCGCCGTTTTGACCGCATTTTGAAACGGCATAAAAAATTCAAAAAAAATCAAAAAATTGGAAAACCTTCGCATTGTGTCGTTATATGTGACCAAGTTTTCAGGAAAAATAATAAACTTGTAATACGGTAATTATTTTCAAAAAGTGTTCTCAGAAATGAGCTATCATGCGTGAAGATTCATGGCTTTCAAGCCAAATGATCAATCTTATGGCCACATTCATGGCATAGTTTGTTCAAATGGTCTAATATTGTGCACAAGGGTGCATCTTGGAATTCCAAACAATGTTGCCTACGGGAGTTTTCATTTTCTTTGCACGGAAAATTCATTTTCCATTTTCCGAGTGCCCGAAATGAGTTTTTTTGTGAAGGCCCTATCATATATTTGTTGCAAAATTGGACCTAATCAATTTTATAAACTACTAGGCCATATTTAATGCACAATTGACAAAATGGTTGGGTGTCAAAACTTTTGATCCACCTCTGGTCAAAAAGGCAAATTCCCATCGATTTAGTTGGAAGCGGGTCAAATTTGAACTGCAGCTGCCTTGTAGTTTGCTCTTTATTTTTTCCAAAAATCATTTCTAGGTAAATAAGTATCTATTTAATCAGAGAAACACCAAAAAAATTACAAGATTCAACCACTAGATAGGAACGGTCAAGCCTGCTGTTTTGACCGCATTTTGAAACGGGCATAAAAATTCAAAAAAATCAAAAAATTGGAAAACCTTCGCATTGTGTCATTATATGTGACCAAGTTTCCAAGAAAAATAATAAACTTGTAATACGGTAATTATTTTAAAAAAGTGTTCTCAGAAATGAGCTATCAAATGTGAAGATTCATGGCTTTCAAGCCAAAATGATCAATCTTATGGCCACATTCATGGCATAGTTTGTTCAAATGATCTAATATTCTGCACAAGGGTGCATCTTGGAATCCCAAACAATGTTGCCTAAGGGAGTTTTCATTTTCTTTGCACGGAAAATTCATTTTCCATTTTCCGAGTGCCCAAAATGAGTTTTTTTGTGAAGGACCTACCATATATTTGTTGCAAAATTGGACCTAATCAATTTTATAAAATACTAGGCCATATTTAATTCACAATTGAAAAAATGGTTAGGTGTCAAAAATTTTGATCCACCTCTGGTGAAAAAGACAAATTCCCGTCGATTTAGTTGGAAGCGGGTCAAATTTGAACTGTAGCTGCCTCATAGTTTGCTCTTTATTTTTTCCAAAAATCATTTTTAGGTAAATAAGTATCTATTTAATCAGAAATACATGGTTTGATGGCGAGACATCGAGGTTTGGACGGTGGCCGAGGGCCCCAACTCTAGAGCGCGTAAGCTCGCATGCCCGCCGCGTGGTCACCGCGTGACCGTGGCATTGCCATGTGTTCTGGGCGGCCTAGGCATGTCTAGTGGGTTAGACACTCCCCATGTAGGTGCTAGGAAGAAAATCACAACATAAGATTCTCACGAGGAGACCGATCGATGCTCAAACATGAATAAGCAGCCAAGTGTTTGATTTTCGGTACGGGAAATGCACATGGCTAATGGGCGTGAGTTTTGGCTAAGGATGATCAGTTACTAAGAAGACTGTCTTCACAAATTTTCACCTCAAAAGGAGGAGCCTAGGCGGTACTTGCTTTGCAAAGTACCACACTGGACATAAATACAAATGTTGAAGCTGGGCTCAAAATAATGAATGGATTGAGCTGGTATTTGGTGGAGAATGGTTATTTGGGCATAGGAAAGCACTGTAGAAAATGGATACCATTTGGACATGCCAAAGTGGTACTTCCTTCACAAAGTGCTGCTCTGAACAGAATAGGAAAATGAATATTGTTGAGTTATTTTTGAACTAGGCAAGGAATGTTTTTGACATATTTGATGAAGATATGATTCAAACAATTTATGAGAATTGTTTGGGAATTTTTGGAATAACAGAAATATAGGTTGCTTCACAACCTAGAGCAAAAATTGACACATGGACATGACACATAGGCAAAACTGATGAGATGGCGCCTAGTCATCACAACCCACCACAATCTACAAGGCTATGACAATCTACATTGGTCATTAACAACTAGAAATAAGGCAGCGGACCAGCACTGTTTGCTTTATGACCATTTCGTGTAAGGAAATTATGACCTTTTTGACCAAAATGGTCGCAATGGTTTAGCGTTTGGAGCCTCCCGAACAGTTTTTGACCAATTGGTCTCAAATGGTCATAGATCTATGACCAATTCTTCCAGGGTCACTGACAGCAGGTCACTAGTTGACATATTTCTTGTAGTGTCCGTCTGCGCCACCGTCACCTCCTCCTCCTTGCTGGACTCGGTACCGGCCTCCTCCTCCGTCCTCCCTCTCCACTCGCCGCTGGCCGGCCCCTCCTCGCTCTGCCTTCCTCCTCCGTCCTCCCTCCACTGGCCGCACCGGCCGGCCCCTCCTCACTCTGCCTTCCTCCTCCATCCTACTCTCTTCTCCCTCCTCGAGTCGCCCCTCCTTCTCCCTCCTGCCCACTACATTTTGATTTAGTAGGCTGGTTCATATGCAACATTTTGATTTAGTTGATATGATTTAGTTGATTTAGTAGGCTAGTTGATTTAGTTGACTTAGAACATTTTGATTTAGTTGATTTAGTAGGCTAGTTCATTTAGTTGATTTAGAACATTTTGATTTAGTTGATTTAGTAG